ATGTAGATTATCAGGCCCTGGGGATTTATCAGCCTTTAATTCCATCAATTTCCTCAACATTATTTCACGACTAATATTGATTTCCATCAGTTCCTCCCTGTCAGTAGACCCTGTGACTCCCAACATTTTGGAATGTTTTTTGTATCCTCCCTTGTGAAGACAGAATCAAATGTATGTACAAAATAAGTCTGACATCTTTTTGTTCCCCATTGCCCTGTTTCTGAATGTAAGGGATTTGCATTTGTCTTCAATAATCTTTTTCTGTTTTGAGTTCTTCGAGGAGATGACAAGCAGAGCAGACAAACAGAGCAGTCAATGTAATATATTTGGATTTCCAAAAGGCAGTTGATAAGGTACCATGCATAAGGCCACTTGATAAGATAAATGAAATAACTCTATAAGGGGCAGCATTCTATCACTCAGTCACCCTTTATTTACATATGAACACTCCTTGACAATACTATTGTCTCATACCTTGTCAGACACTACAGTGTTAGTATCCCTGATGCTCGATCTTTATATGTCAGCCAGGGCCCCCTGATCGGACCAGATTAATAGCCCCAATCAGGGAACTCATATTTTATGAGGCCCAGTTGGTTGATCTTGTTACAATCACTACAATAAGACTTGTGTTGTTTGGCTTTTTTGGCACCATGATAGTGTCCCTACTTCTGAACAGGTAAATTTTTAAAAAAGACCTGTATCATTGCAGAAAAGATATTAGCATGAATAGAGATCAGCTAACTAATAGAAGATAGAGAGTAGGGATAAAAGGAGCATTTGTAGGATGGCATCTTGTAAATAGTGTCACTGGGATCAGTACTGGTGCCACAATGATTTACCTATATATTAAGGAATGGAAATTGGGATGCTAATGTACTATTATCATGTTTGTGGATGACATAAAAATAGTGGGAAGGCCAGTAGTGAGGATGATACAAAGAATCTACAAAGGGATATAAACAGATTACATAAATGGGAAAAATTGGCAAATGGAATATAATATGGAAAAATGTGAAGTTATGTAATTTGGCAGGAAGAATAGGGGAGCTAAATATTATTTAAATGGGAAAAGACTGCAGAAAGCTACAGCACAGAGGGAATAGGGAGTGCTCATACACAAATCTCAAAAAGCTAACATCAAGGTTCAGTAGGTAATAGGCAAGGCAATTGGAATGTTGGTCTTTATTTCACTAGGTTGATTCTGGATATGGAGGTATTTTCTGATAGGAGAGGTTGAGTAGATTAGACTTGAGCTCATTTGGAATTTAAAAGAACGAGAGACTACCTTATAGAAACTACAAGACTCTTAGTAGCCTTGACAGAGTAGATACGAAAAGGTTTTTACCCCTGGTGAGAGATTCTCAGACCAAAGGGTATAGTCTCAGAATAAGGGATTGCTCATTTCAGAGAGGAGGAGGAATTTTTTGTCTTGGAGAATAGTCAATCTGTGGAATTCTTTACCATAGAGAGCAGTTGAATATATTCAAGGCTGCAATGGACAGATATTTAATTGGCAAGGTAATCAAAGGTTACGGAGAAAAGGCAGGAAAGTAGAGTTGAGGATTATCAGATCAGCAACAGTATCATTGAATTGCAGCAAGGCTTGATAAACTGAATGGCAGACTTCTGCTCCTACGTCTCATTGTTTATGAACTTTGAGATCAATGAGTTACCAGGTTCAGTCTTCAATCTCTTCTGTGTTACGTAGAGCTGCACCAGAAGTGCATAAGTGCATCTGGATTATGGAAAGGAAAACAAATCATGCAGCCTTCACATTTTCAGTTGGAATTCAGAAACTCCTTCTGTAATGAGCTATAGGTAGCACCTGACAAGTCAGATCCCGGAATGAAATCTGGGCTGATAGATTATCTGTATTTTTTAAAAGTTTGGTTAAAGTTTTTCAATAGAGGTGCAAGATGGCATGTTAGGTGCAGTCCCAAGAATACCTAAAAATGACATGTCAACCTGGTGAAGTTATAAAACTGATCGATTGTGTGCCAAACAGCATAAGCAGCAAATGATAGACAGAGCTAAGTGATCCTACAACCAAAATGAATGAGATCTAAGCTCTGCAGTCCTGCCACATCCAGTTGTGAATGGTGGTGGAAAATTAAACAACTCACTGGAGGAGGATGCTCCACAAATATTCCCATTCTCAGTGATGGAGGAGCCCTGCACATCAGTGCAAAATATAAGGCTGAAGCATTCACAATCTTCAGCCAAACGTGCCAAGTCGATGAGCCATCTCGGCCTCCTCCAGAGGTCCCCAACATCATAGATGCCAGTCTTTAGCCAATATGATTCACTCTGCATGATATCAAGAATTGGCTTGAAACCCTGAATTCTGCAAAACCAAGGGCCTTGACAACATTCCAGCGAGAGTACTGAAGACTTATGTTCCAGAATGTGCCACATCACTAGCCAAGCTGTTCCAGTACAGTTTCAATACTGAGTTGACATCTACTCAACAATGTGACCTGTGTGCAAAATCCAACCCAGTCAATTACTGCCTCATCATTTTATTCTAGATCATCAGTAAAGTGATGGAAGGTGTCATCAACAGTGCTATCAGGCAGCAGTTGCTCAGTAACGACCTGCTTACTGCCACTCATTTTCTGATCTCATTGCAGCCTTAGTTCAAACATGGGTGAAAATGCTGAATTCTGATGGTGACGTCAAAGTAGAGTCAATAGGGATCAGGGAAGAACTCACCACTGGTTGGATTCATACCTGACACATAGAAAGATGGTTGTGTTTATCGGAGGTCAGTCATCTCAGCTACAGGATGTATCTGCAGGAGTTCCTCAGGCCCAACCATTTTAGCTGCTTCTTCAATGACCTTTCCTCCATCATAAGGTCTGAAATTAGGATGTTTGGCATTGTTGCACAATGTTCAGCACCAATTGTGACCCCTCAGATACTGAAACAGTCCATCTCACAATGCAGCAAAAGATTGATGAGTGGCAAGTAACATTTATGCCACATAAGTGCCAGGCAATGACCATCTCCAATAAGAGAGAATCTAACCAGTGTCCCCTGACAGTCAGTGGCATTACCATCACTGATCCCCCACTATCAACATCCTGGTGCTTCCATTGACCAGAAACTGAACTGGACTAGCCATATAAATACTGAGGCTACAAGAGCAGGTCAGAGGCTAGGAAATTCTGCAGCAAGTAAGTCATCTTTGACTCCAAAGTCTGTCCACCATCTACAAGGTACAGTCAGGATTGCTTAGATGGGTGCAGTTCTAACAACATTCAAAAAGCTTGACATATCAAGGATTGAACAACACACTTGTTTGACATCGTATCCACAACATTTGACTTCATTTCCTCCATCACCAATGTACATGGCAGCAGTGTGTACCACCTACGAGATGCACTGCAGCATATGACGTAGGTTTCGTCGCTATTACGTACTAAAATCATGACTTATACAATCCAGAAGGACAGGGGAACAAATGGATAGGGACACAACACCTGTCAGGAGTGTGATGGAATACTCCCCACTTGCGTGGATGACAGTGCAGCTCCAAAAACACTCAAGAAGTTTAACATCATCCAGGACAAAGTAGCCCACTTAATTGGGACCACATGCACAAATATTTACTCCTTCCACACCGATATTCAATAGCAGCATTATATACTTTCTACAAGATGCAATGCCGAAATTCACCAAAGCTCCTTAGATAACATCTTCCAAACCAGTGGACACTACCATCTAGAAGGACAAAGGCAGCAAATACCTAGGAGCACTACCACCTGTAAGTTCCCCTCCAAGCCATTCGTCTTCCTGACATTGAAATGTACTGCTGTTCCTTCTCGTGTCGCTGTGTCAACATTCTGGAACTCCATCCCTAACAGCATTGTGGGACTACCTGCAGCCAGTTAATTGTCATAGTTCAAGTAGGGAGCTCCATCAGCACCTTCTCAGGGGCAACTAGGGATAGGCAATAAATGTTGACATAGCCAGCAATACCCACATTCCATGAATGAAAAGTAGACAGCTCACAATAGTGCAGAGGAAGTCAAGGTAGTTGATGTACAGATCCGTCACTCTGCTGCTCACCCTTTAACAGCGCACAATCCTGATTCTCACTGTCCATGCAGGACCTGGCCTTATATCAGAAGCCCATGACTTACTATGCCAAGGTAACCTGAGCAAAGGCTATACCTGTTGATTGGATGAGTCCTGCGGACAACCGTGGCAAGCTTCCTGGCTTTGTGCCTGCACTAAACGGCACATCAAGACAGTAATAGTTTGAGTAAGATATCTCTGGCTAAGGGGAGCAGTGTGCAAAAGGAGAAGACAAAGCAATACAAGGCAGGGATGCAGCGTACTTTTCAGTTGTGGTCAGATTGAGTGATTGCTATGACAGTGAGCAAAGTGCCCAAGGATGCAACCTGGTCCAGGCTATTAGCTGGATACATGTCCCTGAGCAGGCAGCGTTTGCATGATGTATGTGGGGGTGCACATGGCTGGTACTCATGCAACATCCCACAATATTATAGCCTGACATTCAACATGAAATACTTTTTGAGCAAACAGCATGTTGAAACTACAAGAACCTTCTCTGATTTCCATGTTGAGTTTTTCCTGGTCGCTAGTTTCATGGTGAGTTTTGTAAGATTGCAACCCATGGCAAGTTGAGGTGTTAGTAAGACATTTAACAAACATTGATGTGTGTCAATTGGGAACTTACTACTGACTAGCAAGAACTCTCACCATGCTGCTAGAGAAAAACATACAGAGTTAGGGCTTGCCTAAAAGCTTGCCTGATTTTATCATTCATCTTGCCCTGGTCCATTTTGCTTACAGCCTGATAAGATTCCACAGCACATAGCAAAATAAATACTCATCCTATTGCCCAATGCTATCCATTAGAGAGTCAAATTTGGAGAAATTAGACCTCGACAGTAAATCTGTAGTTTAACTAATTCTTCCTAGTTGCTCTTCCAAAGTTTTTATTTGTATTTTTGTGTACTGATACACAGGCAGAAAGAACAGATAAAGAAAAAGAATCACGCGGATGCAGATGAACGACTTCTTTTTCACGAAGTCACAGATCATTCAATTATTGATGCCATTTGCTACCAGAACTTTGATTGGGGAAGCTTCACACAGAGTGGAACTTCATATGGAAAAGGTAAGGAAATTTGCTTTATTAATTTTCATGAAAATTAATTTTAAATTATTAATTTTCAGCACACAAAAATGTATCAAATAGAGAAAAGTCAGAGTCTTATGTTTATCATGTTGGGTGCTTTCTGAGACAACATGGCTTCCAAATGAGGTTGAAAATTAAGAAGAAATTATATAAGGGTATCTGAAGTAATAGAAGGTACCTCAGTTCAGCCAGTCTTTGAACCTGACTTGGAAACTAACTGCAGAACACGAGAAAACCAAATTACTTCAAACTAGTCTAGTTTTAAGCTCATCTGAGCATCTATTGTCAGAATTATCATTACATTGTCAGCCTCGTTGTCTCATCCTGAGAAATCTTACTCCAGTGGAAGGTAAGTCCAGATGGCTGGATACGCATCCAGATGCAGTGGCTGGAAAGGATATCTCTTGTGCCTTGTTGAGCTATATGCATTCCACAACACAATGCTGGCAAATTTTGGAGAAAGTTGGACTTTAGGTTGGTCTCATCCGCCTGAATCAGTCTCTACATGACAGGGAAGACAGATGTCTTATTGAGTTATTGACAGAAGGAGACCTGATGGCTTCCCTTTCCTTGTTTGACTAGCCCACCGAAGCATTTATCAAGATGTGGCCACTGTCACAAACTAATAACTAGAATAAAGCAATTGGTGACAACAAGCCACCACTGCTCATAGAAAAAAACTATTCTTGAAAGATAGCCAGAGCATTTTAAACACATCCTCAATGACTTTCATATATCAGTGAAGAAGCAGTCAATAGGCAACCATAGTTTGTCATCTGTTACTCTCTTGATGACCTCCCATGCTGTTAACATTAACAAATTTTAACAAGTTCCTGTCTAATGCACACCCCTAGGAGTCAATACTACCTCAGTGGAGATATATAAGGTAAGAAATAAATACCTCATCAAGAAGCACATTGAAAACCTATGTACGAGCAAGGAAGTATCCTGCAATAATACAAAGACATTTTACATCTTGTAACACCTTTGAACTGTAAGAAAAATTAACAAATTCTTTAAAAAGTGTAAGGAATTTTTTTTAAGAATGTTTGAAAAGAACTACTAAGAGTTTGCATCAACTGTAAAGCGATCAGTTGTAATGACGAATAATGTTCACACCACACAAGTGCCAGGCAATGGCCAGCTCCACCAAGCGACAATGTAACCATGATCCTTTGATGTTCAATGGCATAACAAGCACTGTCAACATGCTGGGTCTACCGTTGACCAGAACTGAACTGGGCTAACCATATCAATACTGTGACTACAAAAGCAGGTCAGAGGCTAGAAATGCTACAGTGAAAAAATTCACCTCCTGACTCCCCAAAGCCAATCAATCATCTGTGAGGCACAAATCAGGAGTGCACCAGAGTACTGAGATAACAAGGTGTAGAGCTGGATGAACACAGCAGGCCAAGCAGCATCAGAGGAGCAGGAAGGCTGACGTTTCAGGTCTAGACCCTTCTTCAGAAATGGGGGAGGGGAAGGGGATTCTGAAATAAATAGGGAGAGAGGGGGAGGCAGATAGAAGATGGATAGAGGAGAAGATAGGTGGAGAGGAGATAGACAGGTCAAAGAGACGGGGATGGAGCCAGTAAAGGTGAGTGTAGGTGGGGAGTTAGGGACAAGATAGGTCAGTCCAGGGAGAACGGACAGGTCAAGGGGGCGGGGTGAGGCTGGTAGGTAGGAGATGGGGGTGGGGCTTAAGGTGGGAGGAGGGGATAGGTGGGAGGAAGGACAGGTTAGGGAGGCGGGAACAAGCTGGACTAGTTTTGGGATGCGGTCGGGGAAGCGGAGATTTTGAAGCTTGTGAAGTCCACATTGATACCATTGGGCTGCAGGGTTCCCAAGCGAAATATGAGGTGCTGTTCGTGCAACCTTCGGGTGGCATCATTGTGGCACTTCAGGAGGCCCAGGATGGACATGTTGTCTGAGGAGTGGGAGGGAGAGTTGAAATGGTTCGTGACTGGGAGGTGCAGTTGTTTGTTGCGAACCGAGCGTAGGTGTTCCACAAAGCGGTCCCCAAGCCTCCGCTTGGTTTCCCCGATGTAGAGGAGGCCACATCGGGAACAGCGGATGCAGTATACCACATTAGCAGATGTGCAGGTGAACATCTGTTTGATGTGGAAGGTCATCTTGGGGCCTGGGATGGGGGTGAGGGAGGAGGTGTAGGGGCAGGTGTAGCACTTCCTGCGGTTGCAGGGAAAAGTTGTGAGGGTGGTGGGGCTGGTGGGGAGTGTGGAGCAGATGAGGGAGTCACGGAGAGAGTGGACCCTCCGGAAAGCAGATAAGGGTGGGGAGGGAAAAATGTCTTTGGTACCTCCCAGTCGCAAACCATTTCAAATCTCCCTCCCACTCCTCAGACGACATGTCCATCCTGGGCCTCCTGCACTGCCACAACGATGCCACCCGAAGGTTGCAGGAACAGCACCTCATATTTCGCTTGGGAACCCCTGCAGCCCAATGATATCAATGTGGACTTCACAAGCTTCAAAATCTCCCCTCCCCCGACCGCATCCCAAAACCAGCCCAGCTCGACCCCGCCTCCCTAACCTGTCCTTCCTCCCACCTATCCCCTCCTCCCACCTTAAGCCCCACCCCCAACTCCTACCTACCAGCCTCATCCTGCCCCCTTGACCTGTCCGTCCTCCCTGGACTTACCTGTCCCCTCCCTAACTCCCCACCTACACTCACCTTTACTGGCTCCACCTTCACCTCTTTGACCTGTCTATCTCCTCTTCACCTATCTTCTCTTTTATCCATCTTCCATCCGCCTCCCCCTCTCTTCCTATTTATTTCAGAATCCCCTTCCCCTCCCCCATTTCTGAAGAAGGTTCTAGACCCAAAACGTCAGCTTTCCTGCTCCTCTGATGCTGCTTGGCCTGTTGTGTTCATCCAGCTATACACCTTGTTATCTCAGATTCTTCAGCATCTGCAGTTCCTACTATCTCTGCACCAGAGTACTTGTCTGAATGAGTGCAGCTCCACAAATGTTTAAAAGGCTCAGCACCATCCAGGGCAAAATAACTTGTTTTATCACGTCCACAAACGTGCATTCACTCCACTACTGATGCACAGTGGCAGTAGTGTGTACCATCAATAAGATGCACTGCAGAAATTCACCAAGGTTTTTTAAACAGCGTCTTCCAAATCCATGACCGCTACCATCTGGAAGGACAAAGGCATATACATGGGAACATCACAACCTGCAAGTTCATCTTCAAGCCACTCAGCATCCTGACCTTGAAATATAATTGGCATTCCTTCACTGTCATTGGGTCGAATCGTGGAACTACCTCCCTAATGGCATTGTTGATGTACCTATACCAAATGAACTTCAGCAGCTTAAGAAGAGAGCTTAACACCACCTTCCCAAGGACAATTACTTATGAACAATAAATGTTGGCCCAGCCAGAGAAGCTCACAACATCTGAATGAATAATTTAAAAATTCTTGGATTTTCAGAATTACTGGCTCACATGATCTGACAATACTTGACCTGGAAACAGTATCAGCCGGAAGTATTTTAAAAAACGAAGCTGCGTTGCTGGTAGGCACAAAGGGAAAAAGAGAGTGAAAAGTAGAGGAGCTTGGAGGATGAAGGTAATCGACAACCAATTGCAGACACAAAGAGAAATTAGAAACAAAACAGAGAGAATTCTTGTGAGAAGAAGCAAACCACTTTCAGTAGGGAGTCAGTTTTCTCTTCGGCAGAAAAGCTGCCAGTAGTTTTGGATTACTGGAAAAGCTAGCTAAGAAGGTCTGAAACCTGGAGAGCTTTGTGAATAGCTCAGAGATATTATGTACTGTTGGCTTGGAAGTGACCAAAATGTAAACCTGTATTTTAGTGGTTGGTCAGTTGAATTGGAAGTCTGGAAAGCTTCACGATCCATTCTGTTGTGACCTGACGGAAACAGGGTTCATTAAAGTGTGCCTTATTAATGATAATTAAACCTATGAAACTCAAATGTAAAAGATATTATGGGATGGCCTGCCATGTGTGAATAAACAACTGCATGTTGCGAAATTGTGCAGTTATGAATTGTCATACGTTTTCAAGAAGTATTGCCAATGCTTTTGTATCGCTTAAAGTCAAATTGAACTTTTCTCTTTGAAGTATCATTTACTTACTAAAATTGATTTTAATTTATGTTGGTTCTGACTTGTGTTAAAGTAAAAGTACAGAATGCCAAAACCTGCTGTCAAATTCTTAATCTGGGGGTTATTTGGCAAATTCGATAAATTTGGTTAATGGTTCCCCGGGGACTGTGATAATCTATACAAGCAATCGTAACAATCAGAGAGGTATTTCCCTCCATTACTGGCAAAACCTTCACCAGAATCTTTCTGAACCACTTAGTACAATGTCATCGCCAGAATCTACCAGCAGAGAGCCAATGTGGTATCAGAAAACATTGAGGAACTATTGATGCATTGCTTACAGTTAGATAGCTCCAGATGAACTTCCAAAGACCTCATTTGTCGACCTGACCAAGGCCTTCAATGCAATCAACCATGCAATCTTTTAAAGATACTGCAGAAGTGCACCTGACCCAAAAGATTCATCACAATGATTTGGCAGTTCTACAACAGCTGGCACATGTCTTTGATGATGGTGAATTTTCTGACTCATTCCTAGCTACTAATAGAATACCAACCCTCTTCAGCAAAGTTTTCCATGATGATGATATTAACTTCAATATCAATGATACAAGTACTGGAAACTTCTCGGTCTGAGAAACTCCAGGTGGATACTTTGCACTTTCCTGTTTGCCGATGTCTATGCTCTGGCTGCCAATTCAGCTTTGGACATGCAATATAGGATAAATTTATTCTCCTATGCAGACAACAACTTCAGCATGACTTTCAACACAAAGAAAACTGAATAATCTATCAATCTGCTTCAGGAAAGTCCTATCTTGACCTTAAGGTTTCAGTCTATTGCCAGAACCTGTCAGCAGTGAATAAGTTCATCTAACTGAGCAACTAACTCTTTCAAGCTGTCAATGCTGACAACAAGACAAATAGAATATTTGTCAAATCAAGTTTAGCCTTCTGCAGACTTCAAACACCAGCCTGGAATTGAACTGGAGTAAATCCACACCCCCCTCCCAACAAAACTGAAGGTACATGGAGGTATAGTCCTTTCTACTCTGCTCCAAGCATACAAGACTTGGACTGTGTACCAGCATCATGCCAAGAAGCTCAACCACATTAATTGAGGTGTTTACAAAAGCTGTGGAAAATGAAATGGAAACTCTGAGCTATTCAACTGAGCTGGCATGCCAAGCATCCACACCATATTCAAATGATCACAATTGAGTTTGCTGGTCACGTAGCCAGACTGCATGATAACACACTTATCAAAGCAAATCTTATATGGTGAGCTTGTGTCCGAGGTACACTGGCATGACAGTAATAGAAAGCACTACAAGACCACTCTGAAGGCTTCACTAGGAGTTCTGATATTGACTGTGAATCCTGGGAGAAGCTCGGCTAGTGCAGCTGAATAAATGATGCACTCCCTTTGAAAATGCATATCAGAGACAGCGAGAAAACACAGAGAGCAAATCCTAAGCCAGCAACTCATTTACGTTGGTTTCATAAAACTTGGTCAACCTAAAGGGTCAGGTGACTCTGGTTGCTATTTTAAGACATTGTTAATGGACCCTTTTTTAAAAATAATTTTCAATCTGTGGAAGTCCCAGGAATTAAATTGGCTTATGGAACTGAAAAGATCAATAGGCCGTATTTCATAAATTAAGGCTTTTCATAAATTTGCAATGTACGTTACACATTCTGGTCTCCCTTCCAAAGGAAAGATGTTGTTAACTTTGAAAAGGTTCAGAGAAGATTTAGAAGGATGTTGCTGGGATTGGAAGGTTTGAGCTATAGGGAGAGGCTGAATGGGCTGCGGCTATTTTCCCTGAGCATTGGAGGCTGAGGAGTGACCTTATAGAGGTTTATAAAATCATGAGGGGCATGGATAGAGTGAATAGCCAACGTCTTTTTCCCATGGTAGGGTAGTCCAAAACTAGAGGGCATAGGTTTAACGTGAGAGGGGAAAGATTTAAAAGGGACCTCAGGGGTAACTTTTTCACGCAGAAGGTGGTGCGTGTGTGGAATGCACTGCCAGAGGAGGTGGTAGAAGTGTGCACATTTACAACATTTAAGAGGCATCTGGATGGGTATATGAAACGGAAGGGTTTCGAGAGATATGGGCCAAATGTTGGCAAATGGGACTAGATCAGTTTAGGATAGCTGGTCAGCGCGGACGAGTTGGACTGAAGAGTCTGTTTCTGCGCTGTATAACTCTATGACTCTCTTTGAGATGGGAAATAGCTTGATTATTCCATTTTCTTCTTATAATCTTGTTTTTAATTAGAGAGTCTTTGAGAAGAAGTTGTTTCTTTTCCCCATCTGTAGAATTTGACAACAATGCATGCTTTTCTTTTCTTCAGGGACATACTTTGCCGTGAAAGCATCCAATGCCAACTTTGACTTGTACTCAGATTCTACAGCAAATTTCAAAATCATGTTTTTGGCACGGGTTTTGGTAGGAAAGTTTATTAAAGGACAGCCAAGCTATGATCGGCCACCATCCCAAGATGTCACAAGCTTCAAACCCTATGATAGCTGCGTTGACTGTGTTGATAATCCATCTTTGTTTGTCATATTCGAGAAATATCACATTTACCCAGAATATGTGATCCAGTTTAGTAATAAAATGTAGAAAATTGTTTGTTTCTGGACAATCTGTGGCCGATAATGATATCATGGGGAGATATGACAAAATTTTTTTTGGTTTAAGGGTTATGTACTACCTGGGAATTTAACACTTTTAATTTCTACTAATTATGGATTGATTTTGTAAGTCTGTGCATGACCAGACAGTTATTGCACGCAGCCATTGCACATCAGAAAATTGCGTGATGTTGCATGCTTTTTTCTGGTCTGTGCTGGTGGTGTTGTGGCCTCAAGTGAGACCTTAGTATCAGTCTAATTTGCTCCAAAGACTGGTGTCTACAAAGTGTTCTGTCCCTCCAGAAATAGTCTCTCTCCAACCTCAAACAGAGAGCACAATCTTTTTCCCTCTGGTTCTAATGACCTGTCTGAATGAGACCGGTGGTTTAGTGAGAGCTTGTGCTTGCTTACAAGTGGTATGTCTTCAATTGGTAGGTTGTAAATGCCCACAGCGTCCCTAGTTTTGGATAAATATTTAATTGTATCAGATTAATGTGTATTATAGGTTAAGTTACAAAAATGTTTTTAATATACTTATCATTTTCTTGGACAAGATTTTTAAAAACTATTCTAAAGATCTTTTTAGTTCCCAATGTTATCCTTATAACTTCTTGGTCATCAGTTCAGCCCTCAATTCTTTCTCACGCAGGATTTTGAGAAAACAAGAGGTTTTAAATAGCCAATAAACAATAGGTTTATTTGACATCATACCAATTGTATTGGAAACCACATCAGTTGAAACAACTCCATCTACCTTTGTTCAATTTATGTTGAAAGTTGTTCAGTGTTTATTCACAAGTACATCTTAAAAAAGTCTTTCCATTACAAACTGTGATACTAGGAAAGTCTTTATTTCCTCACTATTTGGCCACAAAATTAACTTGATCAAATTAGACTAAATTTCCTTGCCTATAAGTTATACTTTCAAGAGGATTTAATGGTCTTTGTTTAATAGATCTGTTTACATTTTGCCTCTGCTCAAATTAACATAGGTCAGAAATCACACGACACCAAGTTATAGTCTAATAAGTTTATTTGAAAACACGAGCTTTCAGAGCCTCAGTCCTTCTTCAGGTGTAACCAAGGCTTTACAACACTTTGTTTTTCCTCCACCATTGTCCCCAAAAAGCTAATAGAATCACTTTGCAATGATCGTATTGAATCATATAAACATGTTGCTCACTTGAGGGAATTTACTCAATTGCATTAGCTGCATCATTTTATGGTTTGTGTTTCTCCTTGATTGCAGGTTTATATAGGTTATTATTCTGTTTTTTTTAAAGCAAGTAAGTTTACCTAATTTAAAGAAATATTGTCTTACTAATGGGATAGAATGCACTCCAGAAGAGCCAAGTGTAACAGATGTGGCATTTATGTGGAACACATATCATTGGTGACTGTGCCTATTAGGTTTTCAATTTGGGAAATGAGAGTTATCACCATTACTACCCATGTCCTTAAATATGCACATTTCCTTCTTTTCTTCTTTTGTTGTAGCTCTGATTTAAGGATGATAACAGTTCCATTTCCTCTTAGAAAATTCTACTCTTATTAAACCAAGTTGAGGATATTTTGCTAATCTTATTTGAGGGACTTGCTCCTTCTACTTATTCATAAAAGTTGGAATGATCTTTTGTCCTAAAAGTGGAAATCTTTGACCATCTTTTTTTTTGAATGGTGATGGCAACTGAAAATATTCCTCACCTGTTATATGGAGATGGAATGTTAATAAAGACGGATATAATATATGATTGCAATATTCATTTCTATATTATTTTCTTCCTACTGTCATTAACCATATTGAGGTCTATACAATGTAATTGTGTAACTCCTACCGTGCATTCATCTCAGTTCCTGTGCTTTCAGGAATCTGGTTTGATACTGAATGTTTGTTCAAATAAATCTTTTGGATTATAGAATTGGAAAATGTTCATTTAGCAAACTTGACTGAATATCAGCAGCATCATTTTGCAAGTTCGCCATTTCACAAGCGTCAAACATGAATAAAATTGAATTTAGTAAATAAAAACAAAACAAAAGGGAGATAAACTGAAAGCAAACTTTTGAGTATTTGATACCACAGCATGATCTTTTGCATCATTTTAAACAGTTAAAGCCTTGTCTCAGTTTCCTTTAAGTTACTGTAAAGTTCATACTGCTCAATATGTAACTTTGTATTGGCACAAACTTAATATTCATTTAATTTTCATCTGTGCATGTGCTCCTTCAATCTCTCAGAAGACAGAACCAGCAAATTTGTTAAGTCAAAGTCACCATTTATTTTAAGTTGTTTTATTTGTTTTGAATGAACATACAGGGCAACAGTTATGATCAGATCCATTTGTTTCAATTGATATAATTCATCTTAGCATTGTAGTACAAAAGAATGAACACATTAAGCTTCCCCACACTTCTTTTCTGACTTAAAAAATTCTGAACACTCCTTTTCACAGTCTTTACTGAGCATGACTGCTCAGTCATAGAATCATATAGTACAGAAGGGTGCAATTCAGTTAATTTTGCCAATGTTTGAAAGTGCTACCAGCAATTTTCACTTCTCTTTTCTAAATCTGTGCAAGTTAGTTTTCTCTTTTGAAGTATATAGCTAATTCCCAAGCTTCATAGCATTTTGTCTGAAACATCCCAATTGACTGTCTATGTCTCTGATTTTATGTTTCATCTCCTGTTCCCAGCAAGGAGAAACAGAGATTTTCCAACACAATAAGATATTGTTTTCTCGAACATGCTACTGAACTGTTATTTACAGTGTATGGGAAAACAATGTTAAAGTTAGTTTATTAGTATTTCAATCATATATTGCACCTTTATTTAAATTCACATAAATTCACTATGGTTTATGAACTGCACACGAGAATAAACTTTATCCAAATGAGTTATATGAGATAATTTTTTTATTCCAACTGTCAAGCATATTGTTACTAATTCAATATTTAAAGAATGAGTGATTACGTGCCTGTCTTAGCAAATAATTTAAAACAAAATAGTTTATTATGCAGATGTGTTTATTTTTTTTGCTGCTGATGTAAGCCATTAGAATGACTTTAAACTATAGTACCAGACTATGAAGCAAAGCAAAAGGATTCTCAAAGATTTGGTGAGTATTTTAAATTCAGAAGAGCTTGTAGGAACAAATAAATGGAAGTTCATCTGAACACACTCTCTCATGCCATTTGCCTTCAATACCTGAAAAAAAAAGTAATTGTTATGATGAATAGTTTCTGTCACAGATATGGTCGTCAATGAATGACTGTTTTATACACATGTATTTCTTCTATTTGGATTTAATGTATGAATGCTAGATTAGACAGTTCAAAACTGAAAAAAACTAGACATATTCCTTTCTGACTTTTCTTTTGGAGGTGAAAAAGCATTTATGAACAGTGTTAAGAGCTACTTTCACCAATCATATATCGATAACTCAATTAATTCTTCATTATTCAAAATTTCCCACGCATCATAGGAGTGTCTCCATATGGACAAACACACGGACATGAATGGACAATCTGGAGAATATGGGGTGCTGATTTTGAAGAAATGTCACCACTCCTTTCCAAGTTATTGTCAATTTTAGAACATAGTACATTTTCTGTCCAAGTGTCTTTATTGGATATGTTTGAAATCTTTTTAAGGTTAGAACCAATTTCATCTTCATAACTAGATTCTTATCATTTTAGGAATTGTCTTGCAAAAGAAGTAACTCATGGATTCAAATGAGGTAAAAGGATGTAAAGTTCTTTTGAATTAATCGGTCATTTTGAAATGCCTCTACTCACAATCACAGCCTTGTACCTTCCAAGAAGTAAGGCTTCTGACACACTGTCCAGATTCAAGAGCCTTAATTGACAGCAAAGTCAACTTTTGGCTACTTCTTACATTACATAAGGCTTACACTTCAAAAATATTTCATTTGGCTATAAAGCACTGAGACATCTATTTGCTGGTTATGACAGACACTAAATAATTGCAAGTATGTGTTATGATTGGCCTATCTAGGGAAAAATCACAATAAGTGACCAAATAGTGAGTTGTGCCCGAGTTTTCCAGTCTCGTCCAGTAGCCATTTAAGAAACATCAAGCCATTAATTTTGCTTCAAAATGTAGAAACATAGAAGATTGGAGCAGGAGGAGGCCATCCAGCCCTTTGAGTCTGCTCTGCCATTCTTCACGATCATGGCTGATTGTTCAACTCAATAGCCTAATCCTGCTTTCTTCCCATAACCTTTGATCCCACTTGCTCCAAGTGCTATATCTAATCACCTCTTGAATACACTCAATATTTTGGCATCAACTATTTCCTGTGGTAATGTATTCCACAGGCTCACCACTCTTTGGGTGAAGAAATGTCTCCTCATCTCCGTCCTAAATTGTCTACCCTGAATCCTCAGATTGTGACCCCTGGCTCTGGGCACACCTACCATTGGGAACATCCTCTCCACATCTACTCTGTCCAGTCCTATTAGAATTTTATGAGTCTCTATGAAATCCCCCTCATTTGTCTAAACTCCAGTAAAAACAATCCTGACCTAGTCAATCTCTCCTCATACATGAGACACGCCAACCCCAGAATCAGCCTGGTAAACCTTCACTACACTTTCTCGAGAGCAACAGCATCCTTACTCAGAAAAGGAGACCAAAATTGCACACAATATTCTAGGTGTGGCCTCGCCAAGGCCCTGTATAACTGCAATAATACACCCCTGCTCCTGTACTCAAAATTCTCGCAATGAAGGCCAACATACCAATTGCCTACTTTACCACCTGCTGCACTTGCATGCTTACCTTCAGTAACTGGCGCACAAGGACACCCAGGTCCCACTGCACACTCCCCTCTCCCAATTTACAGCCATTCAGGTAGTAACCTGCCTTCTTGTCTTTGCTTCCAAAGTGAATAACCGCATATTTATCCAAATTATCCTGCATCTGCCATTGATTTGCCCACTCACCCAACCTGTCGAGATCATGCTGAAGGATCTCTGCATCCTCGTCACAGTTCGCCTCCCACCCAACTTGCTGTCATCTGCAAACTTGGAGATGTTACATTTTGTTCCCTCATCCAAATCATTAATATATATTGTGAATAGCTGCGGTCCCAGCACCGATCCATGTGGCATCTCACTAGTTGCTGCCTGCCAATTTGAAAAGGACCCATTAATTCCTACTCTTTGTTTCCCCTCTGCCAACCAGTTTCCTATCCATTGCAATACACTTTTCCCAATCCCATGCGCTTCAATCTTGCACATTAATCTCTTATGTAGGACTTTGTTAAACGCTTTCTGAAAGTCCAAAATACTATATTTACTGGTTCCCCCTTGTCAACTCTACTAGTTGCATCTTCTTACAGGTGATTAAAAAGGCAAATGGAATTTTGTCTGTCATTGCTAGTGGAATGGAGTTTAAAAACAGGGAGGCTATGCTGCAGCTGTATAGGGTCCTGTTGAGGCCACACCTGGAGTACTGTGTGCAGTTTTGGTCTCCTTACTTGAGAAGAGATATACTAGCACTGGAGGGGGTGCCGAGGAGATTCGCTCGGTTGATTCCAGAGTTGAGAAGGTTGGATTATGAGAAGAGACTGAGTAGACTGGGATTATACTCATTGGACTTCAGAAGAATGAGGGGAGATCTTATAGAAACATAGAAGATTATGAAGGGAATAGATAAAGTGGAGGCAGGGAGGTTGTTTCTGCTAGCAGGCGAAACTAGGACTAGAGGGCATCGCCTCAAAATAAAGGGAAGCAGATGTAGGATTGAGGTCAGGAGGAACTTCTTCACCCAAAGGGTTGTGAATCTGTGGAATTCCCTGCCCAGTGAAGTGGTTGAAGCTACCTCGCTGAATGTTTTTAAGGCAAGGCTAGATAAATTTTTGAACGGTAAAGGAATTAAGGGTTATGGTGAGCGGGCGGGTAAGTGGAGCTGAGTCTCAAAAAGATTAGCCATGATCTTATTAAATGGCGGGGCAGGCTCGAGGGGCCAGATGGCCTACTCCTGCTCCTAGTTCTTATGTTCTTATGTTCTTGAGCCGGACCTACCACCCCATTCTGGGAGAAAATCCAATTAAATTGCCAGCAGCTGTCTGTTCCCAGAAGTGCCATTGTGAACAGTGGCCAGAGCTGGGACAGCATCCAGTCCCCAAAAGTGATCAGTGCTGGAGCTGGATATGAAGGCAAATTAATTATGAGGGCTGGATGGGAGTCATTGCCAGAACCAGGCAGTGTTTGAAAAATACTTCAGTTGAATAATGAAGCTCTCCAGTAAAAACAGATTATTCATTTTAATTCTTTTGCTGGCAATGTCTGCGTCTTTAATATTGAATAAAATTCAACACTGTCTCTTGAAAGGGAGCAATAAGTATTTGGTTCATTAGCAAGTTGTTGGCTTAACAAAGAACTTTTACAATATTTCAAGCAACAGAGGTATTCTAGAAAAATGAGGAAGATATACATCATAGATCTTATCAATGTATCAAATGAAATTGATTCATGATACTGTACCAATGATTTCGTTATTTTAACTTGTGGAGCTTTCATCAAAAAAAAGTTTTTTTAACTGATGGATATCAGGACAGTCTTAGAAAAACCTTTTAGACAAAAATACATCTGAATCTAAAAGTCAACACTGTCAATGCAGAGTTCAGCCTGGTCACTTCTTATTTTAATAGTGATTAAATCTTCATGCTTAGTTGGAATGCAAGTCTCTGTGATGGCTATTATTGGGTGACAATTTGCCCCGTTGTTCATAACATCAAATTTTTCATGGTTCTAAAATTAATAAGCATCATAACGTAGTTTACAATCTCAATGTACCTTCACAATTAACGCTCACACAGTTTTCTGAGTCTGATTTGTCATTAGGTTGGTCAATATTCCACTTTGTGAAATCCAGCACAGATCCATCAGTC